CCCCACCCCACCCACCTCCTCCCAACTCCCTAGCCGCTTCGCGGGCGGCTGAACGTCGCCCGTTTAAGAGGCGGGCCGCGGCTCCACGTGCTTTCTGCTGAGTGACTGAACTACATAAACAGAGGCCGGGAAGGGGGCGGGGAGGAAGGCGAGAACAGGCTTTGACCGATAGTAACCTCTGCGCTCCGGGCAGCCGAATCTATAAAAGGAACTAGTCTCGGCAAAAACCCCGTAATTGCGAGCGACAGTGAGTGGGGCCGGGACCCGCAGAGCCGAGCGGACCCTTCTCTCCCGGGTTGCGGCAGGGCAGAGCAGGGCGGGGGGCTCCGCGCACCAACAGGACTAGTTCTCAGGGCGCTTTGCTCCTTGTTTTTTACCCTCGTTCTGTTTTCTCCCCTTCTCCGGAAGGCTTGTCAAGGGGTAGGAGAAAGAGACGCAAACACAAAAGTGGAAAACAGGTAAGAGGCTCTCCAGTGACTTATTGGGCGTTATTGTTTTGTTGCGAGACCAAGGAAGCTTCGGGAAGCGCTCGGTTTCGGGGACTTTGATCCGGAGCCCCGCATGCCCACCACTTGCAACCCAAATGGGACCCGGGGCGGCGTAAATGGGGAGAGGATGTCCTAGGACGAGCTCTGGCGACCCCAGGACTGCGCTGCTACGCTCGGGACTCGCCCGGCGGTGGAGACTGGGGAGCATCTCTGGGCGTGGAGACCCGGGCGCAGTACCCCGGGCTCAGAGGGGTTGGGGGTGCCCGGGCGTGCTGAGGTCGCTGCTGCCGGGTGGGGAGAGTTGCAGGTCCGGCACGGAGCGCTTCTTTGTTCGGAGGGGCCTGAGTTGGCTAGAAACCCCTCTAGTTGCGGGTTGGCCAGTACCTACGGAGACAAATGCCAGCACTGAGTCCTCACTCGGTTCTTAAGAAGCTGGTCTGTTCTGACCTGGGAATCTGCTGTATGCACCCCGGGACTGGAGCAGCGCGTCCTTTTTCCCGAGAACTCGAGTTGGAGGTGTCCCAAACGGGGTCCGTGGTGCTATTACTCACTAGAGGCCTTGGGGCTTTGTTTGACCTGAGGGGTAGGGAGGTCCTGCCTACAGTCTCCGTGCGCTCAGCCGAGCTGGTGTCCCTGGCGCAGAGCGCGGAACGAGTTTCTTTCTTTTCTTTTTTTCTTTGAGTCTTGCTCTGTCGCCCAGGCTGGAGTGCAATGGAGCCATCTCCGCTCACTGCAACCTCTGCCTCCCGGGTTCAAGCGGTTCTCCTGCCTCAGGCTCCTGAGTAGCTGGGATTACAGGC